CCATCACTAACCAGCTTACATATTTTTGGAGCAGGAATTGCTACAACTTTTAAGTTTTTTCCCCTCTAATTACAATAATTTTTGTGGAAATAAACTTGGGTTCAATTTTGGCGCTGATGGTCGTATAATTAAGTTAACGATCGGGCATCAAGCAGTAACATTCCGGAAAATTTTACATATCAGAAATAATTACTGGAACATAGAGCTTATATATATATTTCCTATGCAATATTTTGCCCGCAGCTTGTCAAGAGCATTTGAAATGGTGAGCGAGGGCTTGAGGTTTGTCATGTTCACATTAACGTATCCTTGTTTTATTTGTCCAACCGTGTGTGTGTGTGTCCATATATGTGTGTGTGTGTGTGTGTGTGTGTGTGTGTGTGTGTGTGTGTGTGTGTGTGTGTGTGTGTGTCTGTGTCCATATGTATGTGTGTGTGTGTGTGTGTGTGTGTGTGTGTGTGTGTGTGTGTGTGTGTGTGTGTGTGTGTGTGTGTGTGTGTGTGTGTGTGTGTGTGTTGGATTTGCTCTTTGTATTCACTTAGTAGTGGTCACCAAACTCCCAGAGATTGAACTCTCTTAGATGTGCTGTGGAGAGGGAGAGGGAGGGAGAGAGAGAGGGAGAGGGAGAGGGAGAGGGAGAGGGAGAGAGAGGGAGAGGGAGGGAGAGGGAGGGAGAGAGAGTGTGAGTTATTCCATCTATCAATATTCTATTCTGCAGAAAGAGCCACACATCTATGGATCAAGCCAATAAGTTTAGCAGACTTCCAGGCGTAACTATTGCTAGACTCGGCTACAAGTACCTCTAGGAGTTTACACCACCTGCTGAAGTAGATCTCACCAAATGTAAACTGCCAGCAGAACTATACACATACTTTACATCACTATGTATTTGAATGAAAAAAAAATCGCAGAATTCGGAGATAACTGTAACGATTGTTCAAGAAATGTGCAAGTCCCTCATTTAAAATTATGTAATACCAAAATTCTAAGCCAACTATCCAAAGTTTGCTTACTGTAGGGCGCGCATGCGCATGACTAAATTTGGACTACCTGCCATAAACATAACTAAATCCACAGCTGCCGCCCACTGGTACGGAGCATGATTAACGACGCTAACAGGCTCACCGCAAATGTTAATTGGTCTATATAGAGACTGTTGTTGGCCAGTTTAACAACTTGTTATATAAAGGACCACAAACATATTTTAAATTGTGAAATTAGCTTCACATGATTACTTGTTTTGCTAATTAAACTTTAGGGTTCAATTCCTGAGCCCAGAATGTGCCTCTATAATCTTTTTTCACTACCGCCCACGGAATGGGTATGGGGTCCACTACTGCCCAGGAGATGGGTATGGGGTCCACTACTGCCCAGGAGATGGGTATGGGGTCCACTACTGCCCAGGAGATGGGTATGGGGTCCACTACTGCCCAGGAGATGGGTATGGGGTCCACTACTGCCCAGGAGATGGGTATGGTGTCCACTACTGCCCAGGAGATGGGTATGGTGTCCACTACTGCCCAGGAGATGGGTATGGTGTCCACTACTGCCCAGGAGATGGGTATGGGGTCCACTACTGCCCAGGAGATGGGTATGGGGTCCACTACTGCCCAGGAGATGGGTATGGGGTCCACTACTGCCCAGGAGATGGGTATGGTGTCCACTACTGCCCAGGAGATGGGTATGGGGTCCACTACTGCCCAGGAGATGGGTATGGGGTCCACTACTGCCCAGGAGATGGGTATGGGGTCCACTACTGCCCAGGAGATGGGTATGGTGTCCACTACTGCCCAGGAGATGGGTATGGGGTCCACTACTGCCCAGGAGATGGGTATGGTGTCCACTACTGCCCAGGAGATGGGTATGGTGTCCACTACTGCCCAAGAGATGGGTATGGGATCTACTACTACCCTCTGGGATCAGAATGGGGCCCACTTCCGCCCATGGGATAGGTATGGGGTCCACTACTGCCCAAGAGATGGGTATGGGATCTACTACTACCCTCTGGGATCAGAATGGGGCCCACTTCCGCCCATGGGATAGGTATGGGGTCCACTACTGCCCAAGAGATGGGTATGGGATCTACTACTACCCTCTGGGATCAGAATGGGGCCCACTTCCGCCCATGGGATAGGTATGGGGTCCACTACTGCCCAAGAGATGGGTATGGGATCTACTACTACCCTCTGGGATCAGAATGGGGCCCACTTCCGCCCATGGGATAGGTATGGGGTCCACTACTGCCCAAGAGATGGGTATGGGATCTACTACTACCCTCTGGGATCAGAATGGGGTCCACTTCCGCCCACGGGATGGGTATGGGGTGTATAATAACTGAGCACAGTTATAAAATCACCTCTCACCTTGCACTAGATAACTAAAATGAGGCAAATAACATCGTAACGTCTTGCTAATATACAAAGCCCCAGCACCCACAACGCTCCTCAGTGATATCAAAAATAACGGAAACACTACAACAAAGCTCACAACTCATTTAATAAATAAATAAATGTTTATTCAGGTAAGGTACATACATACAAGAGATTTTACAAAAAATGATCTATTTATAGATAGAGCTAATACATACAATGCCTAAAGCCACTGTTACGCAAAGCGTTTCGGACATAAATACCCGAGTTTCGGGTACGTCTTAAATACCACTACTAACTCAACAACTAAGTAATATTTAAAAAAACAAATTTGACGTTTCTTCACTAACATTTGGAAATAATGAGCAGAATCACATTTCTTTACTGATATATACATAAGAGAGCACGGTCGGCCGAGCGGACAGCACGCTGGACTTGTGATCCTGTGGTCCCGGGTTCGATCCCGGGCGCCAGTGAGAAATAATGAGCAGAGTTTCTTTCACCCTATGCCCCTGTTACCTAGCAGTAAAATAGGTACCTGGGTGTTAGTCAGCTGTCACGGGCTGCTTCCTGGGGGGTGGAGGCCTGGTCGAAGACCGGGCCGCGGGGACACTAAAAGCCCCGAAATCATCTCAAGATAACCACCAGTAACTGCATATTACTTCACTCATCTAAAATAACACTGGCAATGCTTGCTGATAATTATTACAATGTTCAATATGTACAATAACACCCATTAAGCCCCAATTGTGTTCCTGATAAAATAAGGTTTGATTTAATGCCTCATCATCCCAAATTGGCTGCAGTGATTGAGCAAATGATGGAAACAACGCTGGGATAATCACAACGTTTTCCCTTGTTGGCCGTTATCATTGGCGGCAGTCCACTGTGGGGCACAAAGTCCCTGTCGCTTAGTTAGATAAATGAGTATCCAGTTCACATTAACATTTAAATCCTAGAGGATATTGGTCTTTGCCAAATCAGAGTGGATGTAAGCACACAGGTTAATATAGTGGCATTGTAGCATTGGTAGTACGTACGTACACACACACACAACTATATATTATATGTTGTACCTAGTAGCCAGTACACACTTCTCGGCCTACTATGCAAGGCCCGATTTGCCTAATGGGTCGAGTGATTTTCTTTATTTTCAATAAATTGTTTCCTATTGGTTTATTTTAAATATTATTATATTATATATTAAGAACATAAATTATTGATTTAGTTATGTCAGTTTAGGTTAAGTTAAGATAGGTTAGGTTAGGTTGGTTAGGTTCGGTCATATATCTACGTTAGTTTTAACTCAAATTTAAAAACAATTAACTCATACATAATGTAATGAATAACTTATAATTTCATAAGAAAAAAACTGAAAAATATTGAAATTCTGGAAAACTTGGCTTATTAGGTAAATCGGGCCTTGCATAGTAGGCTAAGAACTGCGTTCTGGCTACTAGGTACAACATTATATATATATATATATATATATATATATATATATATATATATATATATATATATATATATATATATATATATATATATAATCTCCTCAAGTCCCTAATGTTGCTGGAGACAAAAGATCATCTTGCAAGTCGCAAAATGCTGAATTGTGGTTATTTTGGTTTGGTTGTATTATAATGGGTTAAGATGGGTAAGGTTAGGTAGGTTTTAAAAATCCTGCAAGGCGCCCTGCAAGACCTCGAAGCTGTTGTAACTCCCTTTGAGGTACCGAGAGCGCCACGGGGAAGAGCCGAGTACTTGCTACCATCATGCAATTACTCCAAGATTACAAATTTCAAAATAACACCGATAGTGGTAGTTATGGTGGTTTCTGGGGATAGTGGTAGTTATGGCGGTTTCTGGGGATAGTGGTAGTTATGGTGGCTCAAAATGAATGAATGAATCAATTATCAGGGGGAAAGCGCCAAGCCATTACGACTATATAGCACTTGAAAGGGTCAGGATGAGGATTTGGGATGGGACGGGGGGAAGGAATGGTGTCCAACCACTTGGACGGTCGGGGATTGAACGCCGACCTGCATGAAGCGAGACCGCCGTTCTACCGTCCAGCCCAAGTGGTTGGACATGGTGGCTCGAAAGTGGGAGAAGGAATGGGAACTATCAAGGAGAAAGCACCAAGCCATTCCGACAATACAGCACTGGGAAGGGGGTCAGGATAAGCATTTGGGATAGGACGGGGGAAGGAATAGTGCCCAACCACTTGGACGGTCGGGGATTGAACGCCGACCTGCATAAACCGATACCGTCGCTCTACCGTCCAGCCCAAGTGGCTTGGCTCGAAGGTGGGGGAAATGGGGGGAGAGAAGGTTGTTGTTGTTATAGATTCAGCTACTCGGAACAAGTTCCAAGTAGCACGGGCTATGGTGAGCCCGTAGTGGACTTGCCTGGCACAGTAGTGGTGCCATCTGCCTGTTGAGGAGAGAAGGTAACGTCGGCTGCATAAGAATGGGGAAGCTTGTGATGGTGTGAGAGGAGAGGGGGGGCGGAGCTACACCCTCACCCTTGGCAGTGGTGAACCCGTGAGCATTCTGGCAAGTGTGTGCATGGCCGGGCAGGCAGAGTGCGTCGTGTGTCTCGTGTGTTGGGGAGTGTGCAAGCCAGCTCCTCCTACTGTGACTCCTAGTTTTAAGTGCGTCTTATAGACACTGCAGCTCGTCCACTTTTGAAACATAATACTGAAAAGCTGTCGCTACATTCCTTGTCTTTATTACGCTGATACGAACTAAACAGCTGACTTGGTACTATATATATATATATATATATATATATATATATATATATATATATATATATATATATATATATATATATATATATATATATATATATATATATATATATATATATATATATATATATAATGTGTGTGTGTGTGTGTGTGTGTGTACTCACCTAGTTGTGTTTGCGAGGGTTGAGCTCTGGCTCTTTGGTCCCACCACTCAACCGTCAATCAACAGGTGTATTCCTGAGCCTATTGGGCTGTGTGTGTGTGTGTGTGTGTGTGTGTGTGTGTGTGTGTGTGTGTGTGTGTGTGTGTGTGTGTGTGTGTGTGTGTGTGTGTGCGCGCGCGCGCGCCCAGTTTTCTTATACAATTTACTTCTCTTTTTTACATTTACACTGACGAGCCATTTACAGCTAATATCTTGTCAAAGTAACTTAAATTTTAAAATTTGATTTGGAGGCGTAATTAAGTGAGAATGATTATTAAGGATTTGTGTGATCTTATAACTTACTGACGCTTATTTATCTTATTTAGCAGGAATAAGAGTGTACATAATTATTAACACTGAGTAGTAAGTGACCATCTATTTATAAATCTAAGACAAGGACACTGAAAAGTCAAGTCTCATCGCACCATAGAGACGAGAGACAGCTGTATTGCCTAACTTGCCACATTACACAGGACTTGTGCGTCAATTACACCGGACTTGTGCGTCAATCAGACAGGACTTGTGAGTCACGATGCCTCTGAGAATTGAACCAGGCACTTTGCAAAAGAACACGATGCTTGCCATAGCCCGGAACTTTGATTACATCTGCTACAATGCCAAATCGCGGGAGGAGATGTGTCAAATGATCTATGACGAATCCTACCTCCAAGTGGAAGGACCCTTCAAGAATCTACGTAAGTCTTAACAATAAAACACTAGAGTCATTCCTTGATATAGGTCACTTCGTACATAAACTAGCTAACTCAACTGCAACTAATATAGAATAACCCAACAAATTACATATATGCATTTGCATGGTATATGCATGTCTACATGTACTCACCTAATTCACCTGTGCTTGCGGGGGATGAGCTCTGGCTCTTTGGTCCCGCCTCTCAACCGTCAATCAACAGGCGTGTGTGTGTGTGTGTGTGTGTGTGTGTGTGTGTGTGTGTGTGTGTGTGTGTGTGTGTTTACTAGTTGTGTTTTTTTGCGGGGGTTGAGCTTTGCTCTTTCGGCCCGCCTCTCAACTGTCAATCAACTGTTTACTAACTACTTAAGTGTGTGTGTGTGTGTGTGTGTGTGTGTGTGTGTGTGTGTGTGTGTGTGTGTGTGTGTGTGTGTGTGTGTGTGTGTGTGTAATTACAACTTAACAATCATAACTATGCGATCTCTTAATAGTATGGGAAAAAACTGAAAACGCATCTTCCTTAATACAAAATTTCTAACCAGTTTCACTACTTTCCCCTTTCATATTATATTAATTTCCCTTAAATGCATACAACTATCAACAGCCAACACGTGCATACAGCATGTATTATACGCCCCTAAATATCTAACTCCCCACATGCAGTACGCTATGTATACATCATGTATTATATGCCATTTTCCCCTAATGTAACATACATACAGGTTAACCATCATCGCAGAGTCTGATGGAGCGTAATAAAGTGCTATACAACGGTGACAACTATTTAATTGGGAAAATGTTTTCATGTTAAAAAATTTTTCACCCGAATCTTGTTGTTTACATCGTCCTCCCCATTACTATAGTGCCCTTTAGCAGCTACTATAATTCTGATTTACAGTTTATAGCTTTAGTGTGCCATTTGCTTTTTCAGGGTCGGTGCTGTGTTTGTGAGCCATACGTTCACCTGTTGGTTTCATCACTTTATATGTATTTGTGTATATAAGACAATATTAGCAATCTACTTTCTCGTGAAGGATATGAATTATATATATATATATATATATATATATATATATATATATATATATATATATATATATATATATATATATATATATATATATATATATATATATATGTCGTACCTAGTAGCCAGAACTCACTTCTCAGCCTACTATTCAAGGCCCGATTTGCCTAATAAGCCAAGTTTTCCTGAATTAATATATTTACTATAATTTTTTTCTTATGAAATGATAAAGCTACCCTTTTCACTATGTATGAGGTCAATTTTTTTTTTATTGGAGTTAAAATTAACGTAGATATATGACCGAACCTAACCAACCCTACCTAACCTAACCTAACCTATATATATAGGTAAGGTTAGGTTAGGTAGCCAAAAAAAGCTAGGTTAGGTTAGGTTAGGTAGGTTAGGTAGTCGAAAAAACATTAATTCATGAAAACTTGGCTTATTAGGCAAATCGGGCCTTGCATAGTAGGCTGAGAAGTGAGTTCTGGCTACTAGGTACGACATATATATATATATATATATATATATATATATATATATATATATATATATATATATATATATATATAATTTTCTGTAGGAAAAACCTACAGAAAATGGGAAAGAGGGAATCCCCCTTTCCCATTTTCTCTGTGGTTTCCGCATACTAATGAATGATCAGTATTTTGTTATCATTGGTATACTGAGCAAGCTCAGTATACCCGTGTATTAGTATACTGGCGATCCTCCACGCGTCGACCTGGGTACCTCCACACCCCTCCAACTGCATCACGTGTCTTGAACACGTCTACGACCTTCCTCTCTTCTATCCCCCCCCTCCCTCCCTCCCTCCCCCTCCCCCTTCCATATATTTAAACCCATTCACTTGTTTAGATAGTTTTTCTAACTATGTGCATGATAGTATAAAGATGGCCGTTCTAAGGCCGTTAGATAGTAGAACTTTGTACTATTCACTTTATAATCTGAAAAAATTAAGCTAAAAAAAAACTTAAATATTCCTAGAGTACATATGTGTAGCATAGCACGTATGTGTAGAGCACACATATGTACTATGCAGACGACGAGTCACAATAACGTGGCTGAAGAATGTTGACCAGAGCACACACTAGAAGGTGAAGGGACGACGACGTTTCGGTCCGTCCTGGACCATTCTCAAGTCGATTGTGAGTGGTTCAGGACGGACCGAAACGTCGTCGTCCCTTCACCTTCTAGTGTGTGGTCTGGTCAACATATGTACTATATTAAGCCTCACATATCGTGAATTAGGCCCAGGAAAGTTAGGGTAGTTTAATTTCTCTTTGCAAAATAAGTAGAAAATAGTTTTCCGGTTTGTCTAACTGAATAATAAATAAGTAGAAATCTTGAACGTCGGTATATACAATATGGTCCTCATCTACTACCAAAACCAAGTACTACCTCAAACAAGTACTAGTCCTCAAGTACTACCAGAACAGGAGGATGGGCTGTAAACTAGTCCTCAAGTACTACCAGAACAGGAGGATGGGCTGTAAACTAGTCCTCAAGTACTACCAGAACAGGAGGATGGGCTGTAAACTAGTCCTCAAGTACTACCAGAACAGGAGGATGGGCTGTAAACTAGTCCTCAAGTACTACCAGAACAGGAGGATGGGCTGTAAACTAGTCCTCAAGTACTACCAGAACAGGAGGATGGGCTGTAAACTAGTCCTCAAGTACTACCAGAACAGGAGGATGGGCTGTAAACTAGTCCTCAAGTACTACCAGAACAGGAGGATGGGCTGTAAACTAGTCCTCAAGTACTACCAGAACAGGAGGATGGGCTGTAAACTAGTCCTCAAGTACTACCAGAACAGGAGGATGGGCTGTAAACTAGTCCTCAAGTACTACCAGAACAGGAGGATGGGCTGTAAACTCATACCACCAAAGAAAAAAAAGACACAAATGGAGAAACCAAGGCACAGAGACATAGGCACAGACACGGAGACCAACAAAGAGACAGAGAGACAAGAGACAGATAAGGCACCGTTTATGTTCCCATTTATTATCGTTTTTTCTTAAAAAAAAAATAGATTTTTATAGATTCCTTAATTCTATGTTCCTATGTTAGCCGGGTCAGTGTTTTATGTGAGCTGACTGTTAATAGTTGGTTGCGATTGATATGTAGTACTTCGCCAGGGTCTAATCTACCGTCGTTTACTTCGGTGTTATTAGTTAGGATATCTCTGGTGATCTGGTTGTTATAGAAACTACATGTTCTATGACGGAGTCTTGTTGTTTGTTCAGTGTACTTTGAAAGAGATGGTGATGAAAGAGAAAACACCATCTCTTTGTACTTTGAAAGAGATGGTGATGAAAGAGAAAAAACCATCTCTTTGTACCTTGAAAGAGATGGTGATGAAAGAGAAAACACCATCTCTTTGTACCTTGAAAGAGATGGTGTTGCCTTGCAAATATACTGAGATCGTTGCAGCTGACAGTCCCCAAGTGGGCATGTGAAGATATGGAGGACAGAAAATGGAGGAAAGAGTCATGAAAGACGTACATGATCAATAAAGACACCCTTCCCACGCCGATCAGCTTCACGGGTATATAATTATTGGAGCTCTTCCAGTAATGCAAACATGTATCCTTAAGGCACACGTCAGAGGAATTAATAACATGTATTGTGCAGCCGGCGAATGACTGCACGACATATCGTAGAGATTTCCTTCCGCCACACGTCAACTGTGGTGGTCGCTGAACTTAGGCAGTACGCCAATGGTTGTAGTAAATTCTGGCAGTTGGTGCTGGCTCACGCAGTAGTGTGCGCATCTAGCATGCAGGAAGACACGGTGAGTCAACTCCAGGATAGGTGTAGGTTCTTTTACACGCATGCACGCGCGCCCGCGCACAAACATCAGTTGAGAGGCGGGACCAAAGAGCCAAAGCTCAACCCCCGCAAGCACAACTAGGTGAGTACACACGCTCTATGGGGCCTCGGGTCTGAGTGGACAGCCCTCGGGGGTCGAGGTCCGAATGACCCGGGTTCGATTCCCGCCGAAGGCGGAAACAAATGGGCAGAGTTTCTTTCATCCTGATGCACTGTTTACCTAGCAGTAAATAGGTACCTGGGAGTTAGACAGCTACTATGAGCTACTTCTTGGGGATGTGTGCGCGTGTATTAAAGTGAAATATATATAGCAGGCATAATAGAAAAAAATAAGAGTGGCTAGAAAGGCGGGATCCAAGAGCTAAACAGCTCCATTCTGCAGACATAAATAATAATACTCAGACAAAACGCTATGCGTACTAGTGGCTTTAGGTATTGTATGTACTAGTTCCATCTATAAATCAATCAGAATGTTTGTAACTGCATTTGCAGTTACTGCAGTTTGTTACTGCAGTTACTGCAGCTACTGCAGTTACTTTGCAGTTTGTAACTGCAAAAGTACTGTAAGTACTTTTCCTAAATAAATTATTATTATTTAAAATGTATCCAATCATGTGCTCTCCCAGGTACTCCACCTTCCCATCACCCACACACCAGCACTCAACCACAGGCTGCTCACCACCCCAAACAACTTGAACTGTGCCAAATTACACACAGCTGGCCACAAAATAGCCCTGGGTCACTTGGGAACTTTCTGAGGGCAACAGACTGACTTAACGCGTACTCGCCTATTTTTGTCCATAACATTTAGCTTCAGCACTTTGACAGGCTTTATAGCTGCTGGTTTTATATTTAATATTTATAAATAGTAAATACATAGTATTAATATATAGTAACAGTATTTACTATTTATGAATAGTAAATATAGTGTGTGTGTGTGTGTGTGTGTGTGTGTGTGTGTGTGTGTGTGTGTGTGTGTGTGTGTGTGTGTGCGCGCGCGCGCGCGCGTGTGTGTACGTGTTACCAAACAACAACAGTTTTATCTGGCCGAAAATTACAATTTTTCCTCTTAATGCTCTTTAATTCCCTTCTCCGAGGCTAGGTCCCCACATTTGCACCAGAGGTTGTA